TGCAAGCGTATAACTATTTATAATTCGATGTCCCGACAAAATGAATATCAAAAGCTCTTTTTATCCTACTTTTTTTAAGCTGCTTTATTTCTTTATTAACCACAAAAATGTTTTGGTTACAGGGTTAAATTCAGAAGGAAATTTTCGGTGATTAATTTTCAAGCCAGATTATTTTTAATTTAATATTAGTTGTGGTTTTATTTTTAGCAGAATCATTTCGCAATAACTCGCCAATAATGGATTTTCTAAGTGTGGGTTAGGAGCAACAAATACACTTGGATTTTGTAAATGTTGGAGTTAGAACTGGTGGGTTTTTGTATGTCCCATGGCCCCTCAGTCTGACAGCTAGAAATGTTTTAAAATTGACTTTTTGGATCCGTATTGCTGAAAAAAAAGGTACGATTGTGAGGGATGCACAATGTGAAGTTTTATGATGAATAGGGAATGTGTTTCTTTGTGATGCCGTCATTAATAGATAAACTTCTCAATTTTGATGAATAAAAATTGGTAAAAACTTAACCGCTAATTTTCTTAACAAAAGAGGACTTTACTCTTTCCTATTAACAGGGCTCAAACTCAGAATGGCATATAATATTTTGTTTTTTCATTGCTCTAAAAATTTTTTTTTAACAATTAGCGTTTACAGAATTCAAAGTAGTACAAATTTGAGGTGTACATACCATATTTTATATAGATATATAATATGAAATTATGCATAAATTTACTATTAAACAAAAAAATAACACAGGATTACCCCTCAAATTTGGAAAACAAATTCCTTGTGCTTTCATATTATACACAATATATTAAGAGGAAACACAATTACTGTGTTGGGTTAACTATACTAACTTTAATTGAGGGAAAAATTTAGAGCAAAAAAAGAAACAGTTGAACATACACCCATGGATTACACTTTAAGTGGGCAGCATTTTGAAAAAGACGAAAATAAGAACTAAAATTCCTTGCTTTTCCCAGCTAGTGAAGAAAAAATAAAAATCCCACTGCATTTTTTCCTATTATTTCAGGTAATTTTTAAATTCCCTGTATTTTCCAGGTTTTCCTTGTTGTCCCTACAAAGTGGGAAACCTTGTAACATTTAGATAAGAGTATTAAATTAAAAATTATACATTACTGAAACTTTATGTTTCATTCTAAAATTAAATTGATTACCAAGAATCAATGTTCTATTTTTTTAGTTAAATTAGAACAACATTTAAGAATTGTTTTTTGCTTGATTGATCAAATTAGAATTCAACATTTAAGATTTGTTTTTATGTCTTTTTGCTTTTCTAACATGAGAGAAGATAAATTTTAGACTATCTTGTTGGAAGGGGGAAACGATGAGATTTCTTTTCTTTACATAGCTGTCAACATTGATAGGAAAAAAAACCCGGTATGTTTTATGAAATACAAATTTCATGATAATTGTTGCATAATGTACTAAATATTTTCCACATAAGGAATTTTAGGAATTTTTTATAGTCATCAAAATAGAACAACTGCAATATTTTACAGTTATGGTTGACATTAAACATACTTGAAATGCTATGTATTTTGTTTATTCATAATTTTGAATATTAAAAGGCATTTAATTCAAAGATGGTTGAAAATTTTTTTTAATTAATTTAAAAAGAGAATCTTCATCCTTATTGTACTTCATTATGTTATACTTATTTAAATATATCCTAAACCCTTCTTCCACCTTGATTACTATTCCTAAACTGCTTAGTCCTATAATCTCTTAGAGAGTATCTTTGACCTCTAATAAGAGGTCAAAGATTTCGTCAATCATTTAGCAACATGAGAGAGTTTCATATAGCATTCTAGTTTAGCGGGGTAATGATGGAAAGAAATTTAATGCTAGCTAAGTATCACTAAGTTGATGATATTTCAACTGTTTGACTATAAATTTCAGTCGAAATAAAGTGGATATAACAGATGGTAAAGTAATTCAAATTAAGAAAGAAATTCCAGCTTTTATTTAAAATTTCCTGATTTTTCCAGGTTTTTATCCAAATTTTGCTGACTTTTCCACGTTCTTTTTTCAGTATAAAAATAATTCCTGGATAATTCTAGGTTTTCCAGGTGGGTGGGCACCCTGAAAAAGTTAGAACTATGTCAGAGGAATAAACTTTTGTTAGTTTTACCATTAAAAAATTTTAACGACACCGAACTTTTGCAAATTTCTGACCTAATTTTAAGTTTAAATTTCACCCCCAAACGCTAGCCTACTGCATGAATTTGTTAGCCTAACAAAAAAATTCGGCTCAACCTTCGTTAATTAAAAGAAACGACCAAAAGTAACTTTTGTCAAACCTTAAGTTCTCAAAATGTTCACGACCAAACGCTTAGCTCATTTTAGAAAATCGTTAGCTAGCATAAGAGAAAAAAGTTTTGAAAAACAAGTTTCAAGTAACTTTCGTCCTAAAAAATAAGAGATTGAATTTGGAATTCCAAGAGTTGTAAGAAATATTTAGTGTTAGTAATCCGACAAAAATGTCCTTAATTTTCCCACCAAAAAAGTATGATAGAAAAGTTTTAGCTAAATTACGACCTAGAAAAAACAAACAAATTGACCTCTATACCTAAGTCCATTTGAGTTAATGGGATTTCAGTGTCGCATGTTAACATTGCGGTCTCCTAATTATTATCTAATGTAGTTAAATATTTTCTTGAACCACGTTATTTAGAAAAGAATTAGAAAATGCAATTTATACTTACATCAAGGTTCAAACTTAAATTTGTTTATTTTCTCATTACAGCCTGAAAGGAATATATAAAGAACAAAAACGTCCTAAATACTTCAATTTTTGTAAAAAATTTGGAATACGGTTTTTTTTCTTTTTCGAAAAGCGATTAAGATCAATTTCTGAATTCGAACACATTTATCTTATTTTTTTTTGAAGAACAAACTCTTGTGCTCTTTTCAGTTAAGAAATTATAACCTCATAGTAACGAACAATTAATTATACACGAAATTAATTAGCAACGTTTGAGTGGGATAATTAGTCAATCGCATTCCAATGACCACAGTCCACTAGCACAAACAACTGCTGACGAGTAATATCCTCAGTAGTAGACGGATCATGCATTTGAGTCCTCTTGCGGCCAGGCTAACAGTGAGAGGTTCTTGTGGTCTTCCTCTCCATCGAACGCAAACGAGAGTCAGTTCCATCAAAGAGTTCTCTACGAGAGTTCCCTTGTCTTCTGGATTGGGTTCAAAGTTACAAAGCTACGTAGTTGAACATTGGAAGTCGTAAATCCAAAATATGTTCAATGACGGTATGAAATGACAATATAAAATTATCAATTAGGAATCACGTTGGCGAATCGGAAAAAAAATTACCGTCCCAATAAGGTGTTCAATGACTGGTCTGTGTGGGTTCTACTCCCGACTTGCCCCGACCAGAAAGTTAAGTCATCATTGTAAATGGGTCACGGATTAAAATCCCTTTATCAATGGGCTAATCATGTAAGTTTTCAAGGTTCGATGTAACGTTGCCGTTTTCTGTGTAGGTAAAAGGATATATTCGATATTTATTGTCAGTGAATAGAACTGTGGGACACATGTTGAAAGTATCTTTCGAAGCAGTTAACAGAAACAGGAAAAATATCATATTTGGAAAAAATAAAGCGTTACTATATTGTCCTAAATTCTTTCCTTATTAAATGCGAAACATATAAATAATAGTAATTTAATAAATTTATCAAGNAAATTTAGACTTATATAATCTAACTAATTTAACATCTGCCAATTCAATAACAAATGACAACAATAACAAAAATTTAATAAATATCATTGTATAAACAAATTTTTTCTGAGAAATATAACTCATTTTTGTTTCTAGAAGAGGGATTAAATGATGCATGAACTGAAAACTAACTTTTTGAAGCAAAACGCATTTTTTTTACATCTCTGATGCAGTCAGGCACTCTTCGCAAATTTGTGGAATAGTATATCGAATACTTTACATTTCATTCATTATTTTCTTCAAGTTGATTACAGTAAATATTTGAAAACTACCTTTTGAGTATGAAAAAAAGAGTGAACATCGAATAAAGCTGAAAAGCCCAGTCTCATTACAGAATTTCTGCCCTTGCACTTAGTGTATATTTTTAATCATGCTCTACAAGAAAATTTTCCCTTTTTACTTATGAAAGTAACACAGATAATTGAAAGTATGAAATATGATACAATGCATTTAGTAAAAGAGAAAGTAAAAATTTTTCTAAAACAAAATAAAAGCCCATATAGGAGATAATACCAACTATTTTTTTTTATGGATTACAATATATGTAAAGCTTAATGAGAGAAGAATTATAATTGGTCATATTGCACCAAACACAAATGTAACAACCATCAGAACTAACAAAATATGACTAAGGTCTAAGTCATGTGACCAGTACTTATTAATAAAAGGGACGCTCTAAGGCGTTGTCTTTTAAAGAAACACACAAGAGTAGAATAATTAAAATATCATGTATCAAAATGTATAGATCAAATTTTTGAACCCCTAAAATTTTACAAAAATCAGGGGCTCTACTTATACACCAGTAGTGAAGATAGACATTAATTGATCGAGAAATATTGATGCATTATAATCGATGTGATAGATATGAATAACTCTGTATGGATTTACCCCTTTCCAAAACTATTTTAAAATGTTAGATACAATTAATTTTCATTCTCTTTCACAGTATTTTTTTCTCACATATTAAGGTTTTCTTCTAAAAAATACTCAAACAAGGCAACTTTAATTGTTTTCAACAAAAAATCTACTAAAACGAATTAAGTTGTAAATATTTTAAGCTGCCAAGTTTTTTTTAGCAAGTAGCTCATATCTCAATTTACAAAAATAATGCATTGTTTTTAATTTACTACTGTTAACACATTAAAGTGGATTATTTGTCTTTTATAATTACAAGTGTTTTTAAAAATAAGCTACAATTTAATAAACAATATTAAGTAATATAAAAGTATTTACTTGACTTATCTGAAGGGTGCTACTTTGTAAAAAGGAAGTTAATACATCAAGTTGAGTTTTGTTTGAATTGAGTTTGCCTTCCATCTGAGACTCTTCTTTCTTTAACTCATTCAATTCCACATGCTTTTCATTCAGTTCCTTTTCTTGTATCTAAATTAGCATAAATTTAATTGTTCAACCAATAACATACTCTAAATTTATTATCAATATATTGAAATAAAATCTTTCAATTAATCTTAACAAATTAAAAGACTAAATATTTGACAAAATCAATTAAAATTTTTCACAACAAACCTCTAATTCCATTTCTTGTTCCTCTTTCTGTTTTTTTCATAGCATCAATCTGTTACGGAAAAAAAACATACACAATTAACAAAATAGGATAGAACTGTGTTTTTAAAAAAATAATATGTTTTAAAAACACCAATTCAGTTTATGGCATATAGTGCAAAGAATGAAATTTATCGAAATATATTTTTTTAAAAATAAAGTTTTTTTTTGTTAAATTATTTTGAAATAAGTAAAACAGAACTTGAACTTTTTGATAATGAGCTAAAAACAGGGTGGCCACACAAATCAGGTTTCAAAATTTCCTGGTTTTCCAGTAAGAATCTTAAAACTTCCAGGTCAGCGTGTTTTCTTTTCCCATAAAGTGCAGGTGGGTACAAGAAAAGTGTCAATATTATAAAGTATTTCATTTAAAAGGTTATTTTTTTAATATATCATCTTGAATAGATGTGAAGAAAATAATATGTTTAGCTTGTAGAATATATTATTTTTAACGAATAAAAAATGTTTTAAAGTGTTAGTTTTGTAGTTTATGCACAAAATGCATCAAATAGCAAAGACAGTGACCCAAAATAAAATTTAAATTGCCTTCTATCTCCTGTTGGAATGGATGGATCAATGTGTATCATACAATTTTCCATCTTGTAAAAGTTAGTTGAAAAATCACTAAATTTAATTGCGCAAAGTGTATTAACAACAATGTAAATGAAACTCATATTTAAGCAATATTTCTGGAAATTTATTAACTTTAAAGATCCTGGAATAAAGAAATTGTCGCTGAAATTGTTCTTTAAATACTACATACATTTTTCAAGCTCTAAGTAAAATGATTGATTTAAAATGCTCTAAATAAATTTAAATTGTTTCTGAAAAAAAAAACTGAGCTGTTTACCTCGAAGAAAGTAACAAATTAAATTAAAATAAAAAATATATATAAAAACTTCTTGATCAATTTTAAGTTATTTATATTATAACTTAAAGCGCAGCATAGTTAAACAATTTTTATTAGGTTACTGAGGTAAAATACATTATTGTAAATTAAACTAAAAGGAATATTTAGATGGTTTCTATTCATATTTCGTTTCAGGAAGAAAAAGAAAAATAAGAAGGAGAAATAAATAAAAACAAATGTAATAAAAAGAAAAGCAGTGGTGTCTGATGTAAAAACAATTATTAATTTACAATAAAAATACTTATTATTATCAAACTCTTGCTTTAAGCAGAATAATAATATCATTTTGTTAAATCTTAGTTGCGCAGTATGATTAATTATGCATCCTGGTATCGCACATAAAATATCATAAGTGCATGAGAATTTTTTTTTGTAAATCAAAGTGTGAAATGTTTCTACACATTTGTGCCTGTTAATAACCTATTTTGTTACAGTTCACTTTAATTATTATTTCTTCCATTTTCTATTATTAGTGTGAATTTTTTTTAAAAAAAAACTGTACTTTGTTAGAGATTCACTTACCACAGTTAAAAATTTCAAATGTTATTGCCCTTCATTTAACAGTCTGTAACTTAATGAAAACTGATATTAAGGTATAACTCATTATTTCTAAATCTTCAATTTTTTGCCTTGGAAATGATACCTTATTCAATTAATATTAAGTTTAAAATTTTGGTCATCTGGTTGCCCAACTTCAAATCTGTACAGTGCAGAACAAAAATACAAGGTTTCGTTTTTCTTCTTTCGAATAAACAAATATAATNTTTCACTGACTTTCCCAGGTTTTTCCAGTATAAAATTAATTAACACCCCCATTAAAAATGTGCTCCTGCTTGCTTACAATAGAAGCAGACAACCGCAGACTTTTAGTCTGTAGTTCTCCTCAAAGTCACACAATAGATAGAGCGCAAAATAAATAAATAAATTTGTTATCAAGTTAACCAAGGAAGATTAAACAACAATCTTTGACTGAGAAGAGTGTAATGCTTCCTCCTAATGATAGTGCACAGTAGGAAATCTTGATTTCAAGTTAATGTGATAAAATTTTACAGTCAGAATTTTAATCTTTCAAATTTTGCTCATTTTGTTTTGCCACGGCATTTGAATAGATATAGGCAAGGACTGTTTAGAATTTTTCTTTGTGTCTACTACTTCTACTACTTCGAATTCTACTTCGTAAGCCCATTGTAATTACTCTCATCCCAACAAAAAGTAGAAGAAATTTTAGTTTTTTGTACTGTTCTAGTTGTTGTTGTTGCATAGTTGTTGTTGTTGCTTATTCCCTTGGTCNTTTTTGTACTGCTTTTAACCTTTCTCTTCCCATTGTCAGAAAAACATAAACAAATCACACAGCCCTTTTTGTTCTTTTTGAATAGCTCAAAAATTTCGTTTGACGTTGTTGTTGTTGCTTATCCCCTTGGTCTAGAGCCCTAGACCAAGTCCAGAAGATCATGTCGCATCAGCAAGTCCTAGACAGTCTCTCCATCACTCATCATGTCAACAATGATTATATCTAGGGATTGTATCAGAAATTTGAAGACTCTAGAAACCAAACTATCAGAGGGCTTATTTGTAACTTTGAACCAAAGTTAAATGTTATTTGTATACAAAATGCGTTTGAAATATTCAAAACATTAGTTAATTATGATATATTAGTAAGTTTGAGTATGAATTTTTTTCCATTTTTTTAAAATCAGACATCGCTCATAACCTCCCACCCACTTTGCCCGAAAGAATGAGCAAATCCCAAATAACTTTCAGACTTTAGGTGCTCTTCGTATATTTATTGAACGGCCTAAAAATTTATTGAAGCACCAGAATACAATTCTTACCAGAGCTATGATGAATCACACAATACTATTCACCTTCATAGAGACAACATCCTGGCCTATAAAATTCAAAATAATAAATAAGAAATGAATAAAATATCAGACTTTTAAAATAATAATACATTTACGACGCATATGAATATGTGAACACTATTACTTCTTTGTTCGAAGAAACATTTTATTACTACACTGTATTACACTATTCTTACAATACCCTATTCTTTCTAAAGTTGGCCCTCCTAAGTATAGATATTAATGAATAGTGGACACTGGCTGCATGGAGACTAAATATATGGATATTAAACAATTGCTGCCACTCGCCACCTGACGCAACGTTTTCCAGCCAAATTTGCATCATGTGCTCCAAAATCATTGATTTCGACTTCATTTATTACGCAAGAACGATACTATTTTCACAGAAAATTTCATTGCCTGTATTGTTGTTGCTTCTAATTCCACTTGCCCATACCAGCAAGCCTGCTGGGTGAAACCAAGCGAATTTTAAAGCAGAGGGTGCGTTTGTTTTTCAGTGGCGCCTTCAATGGCCAAAAATTCTATTTCAGACACACACACGTCGCAGCCCGTTTAAAGGGTGAACCCATTCATTCATTCAACCACAGATCATAGCTTTGGCCTGAACCAGAGAATAATCTAGCTGCAATTCATTACCCCCAGAAGTTTGATTTGTTATGGAAACATGGAGGATTTTGTGACCGAACCGAGAAAACATGCACCAGCCACCATTTACTAAACGGCGAGTCTTCGGCTGGCGAGGATCAAACTCGCGGCCACTTAAACATGGTCCCAAAGCTCTACCAACCAGGCTATCCTGGTCTCCGAAGAATTAGTTCATTCTTGGATGTTACAAAATTACCAAATAAGGTTTCATTGACGAAAAAAAAATTTTTTAATCTAAAAACCAAGATTTACAGTGATGAAGGTTTCGTTTAAGAATTAAAAAAAGCGATTTTTTTATTAAAATTAAATTCTAAATGATTGTTTTTGACGGCGATTTTATTCAGGCGCATTTATAATTGTTTTTTCTTGTTGTTTTTATTACAAACTCCATCTTTCTTCGTTTTTTTTCGAAAATTTTTGACTTTTAAGTTTTGTTTTAAGAATGAAGAGTTATTTTTTTTCGTTTTGTATTTTTCACTAATTTTTTTTAATCATTTTTAATATTTTTTTCTCTTTTGAATAATGAAACTCTGAACAATTTTATTTTACACTAGATCAGCATTTTAGGGGAATTGAATTTCGTTAAATTCATCAAATTTTAATTTATGGATGGTAAAAAAGTCATGTAATGAAACATAGTGCGCTAAATTAATCCCAATAATATCAGTTTTGTTTAGCGTCTAATAAACTTTACGATTCTAAACTAACACAAACTGTATCTAGCATTACTGGATTAAAAAGATTAAGCCCTAAATTTTATGAGATGAAAACGTTATTTATACTATGCTTAAATTTTTAACAAAATTAATTAAAAAGGTATAGAAATTTTTTTAAGCATTTTAGAAATTAATCGTGCAGTGCATATAATATTTTGAAAAATGCTTTACATAACTAATGTAGATAGCTATTTTAACAGTTTTAAATTTCCAATTTTTGAAAAAGTGGCCCCTATAAAAACTGTCACTGGCTGGCAACAATTTTTTACTAAATTTGTCCTATTTCGCTCAGCAAAAAAATTTTAAAAAGTTTAAGCAAAATTTACTTTTGGTTAAAATTGTGATCGAAACCCAAGTTTGAATTTTGCTGCAAAACGTTTTGTTGCAAATTATTGCTAATAGTTCACCCAAAATTTTCGTAAGGGAAGCGACACAAAAAAAAAGTAATGTAGCTATTTGATAACGTAGGAAAAGGTTTGAACATTGCCACTAATCTTTAGAGATTAAGATTCTCCTCAAAGCAGGGATGAGAGTAGTCAGAAAGTAAAAAAGAGGAAATCCAAGAATGTATATATATTTAGCAGAAGCTACGATTTTCAAAAATTTGTAAAGAAAAAAAAGAGCGATTTTTAAACCATGTGATTATAAATCAAGATGATTAATTTTAAAATTGTATGAATATGAATCACATGCATGTTTGAGAGAATATGAATTCCGATATGTGGCTTTTAAATCACGTGAAACTCTATATCGAATTTTTAAAGAAAATTGAAAATACAAATTAGGTTGGTTATTTTTTAGATTGCGTAAATACGAATCATGATGTATAATAATCACGTATAAATACGAAAATCGATGCTTGATATTACAACCGCATAAACGAATCAAGATATTGGATTTTAAACTCGCGTGAATACGAATCGCTACATAGGGTTTTAAAAAAGCTAAAATACTAATTGCGATATTAGATTTTTAAATCTTGTAAATAAGAATTGCAATGCGCAACTTTCAAATCAAGTAATTGCGAAAATCGATGTTCGATATCAAAATCGCGTAAATAAGAATCGAGATATTGGCAGATTCTGGACTTGGGATTTCAAAAAGGTTTGTTTGTATTGTTTTTGCTCAGCCGTAATAAATAAAAATTTGATTAATTGAATGAACAAATAAATATTTTCACCGCAAATCCACAGCTATTTTCTTATTATTTCGCTTGCTTTCCCGCCAGCAAACAGGAAGGAGCGACGTCTGAATTACGAAAACACGAGCTGTCTGGCCGGCGGGCAAAAATACGGAAAATCTAATTTTCTGCGCGTTAAAAGCGGAGAAAATAGTTGAAATAAAATGCGGAAGGGTTAGCAGCTACGACGTAGTTTGAATTTTCTATTTATCCTTGAAAATCGGAAATAAATATAATTATTTTATTTCAATGACTGAATTTTCAGAAAATGCGGAATATTTATAGAAAAAAAACTTAAACTTTTAGAGAATCGGAGTTTTTGATAAAAAAAAGCTAATGTCTTTTTTTTTCTTTCAATTTATCTATTTCTCAGTCAGAATACTTTTGTTATCATAAATTCTCGTTTTATATTCTTTATCTTTCTTCTTACAAATATCTTTTTTTTTCTTTGGAACATTCTAGTTCTATATTCTCTCATTCCTTCTGCAGCTGTTTTCCCATATTGATAACTCACTTATGAAACTTTTAACTATAAACTAAACACACTATCAAAAATAATGGCACAGTTTTGTATAAAAAGTGTGCATTAATAGTGGAAGAATTGGTTTAAACCAGTTGACTTATGATGCATTAGCACTTGTTTATATTCCTAAAGTCAATTTTTAATGGTCAACCTCTCAATTTCGTGTAACTGAGGGGACATTTAGTTTTTGTCCTCTCTGTTATATAAGAAAATTTAAAATTGTTAAATTTTTTTTTCTTCAAAAATATTACATAACAGGATTGTACTAATAGACTTTATTGCAAAAACCAGTTATTAAGTTAAAAGGTTTTTTGCGTAATGAATAAAATAAACTTAAAAGGAAAATTGTTACAAAGAGGACNTAAAGTTAAAGGTAGTAATGAATGAAATAAACTTAAAAGAAAAATTATAACAAAGGGGGCAAATAAATACTTCAGATAATTTTGACTTGAAAAACAAGAAACTTTTTTTTGACAGAAATCACTTCATAATTAGCACATCAGGAACAATTTTACAATATAAATCAAACTATGCGTAGAATCGTAATATTTTTAATAACTTGTTCTTCTTTAAAATGGACATTTTTTTTTATAGAATAAGTCGAAATCATGAATGCTCTCCATTTATGATAGATTTTACTATAATCATGCATAAATCCAAAAAATAACTTTTGAATTCATAAATGACAACAAATTTCCTTCAAAATGATACAAAATACAAGGACATTGAACCGTAGCTCAACATTTTACTGGATTTTAAAGACTGTCAATTACATATCTGGTGAAATGTAAAGTAGTTTAGATCAGATTATTTTAATGAAAAAAATTTTAAAAAAAATGACTCAGAACAAACACTTCATTATAATACACTAAATTTATATTTAATGTGTTTTAAAACCACTTGTATTTAAATAAACATAAAATTAAATGGGTAAAATTGAAATAAGTTTATTACCAGTAAATTATTTTTTGTACAGTGAATGGAAAATTATAATTTAAAAAATTATAATTTAAATATGATAATCTCCAAACAATAAAAACTTCATTAACACTTAAAACTATCTTTAAAAATGTCACAATCCAGAGAATAGATTTATAATAACATTAAGTTCTAGCAGAGAAGAAAAAACAAATTAAAAAAACATAGGACAACCATTTAAGTGATTGGTTGCAAATTTAAGCCTGGTGCCTTTTACAAATATGAACGAAAAAGCATTTTTAATTTATTATATTTCGAAAAATACTAAAGTTTGAAAGAAGTTTTTTTTCTTCTACACTTGAATCTGGGGAGGGGGGATTATTTGATTTAAAGAATTTTTTGTAGTACACTCATTGTAAAGGTGTTCTCCCAATTCAATGTAATTTATTTTTTAAAGTTTATTACATTTCAAAACTTAAATATACTTATTTAATTCAAAATTTTAATATATTACCAAAGCACTTTTTGGTATGCTGTTATTTTAATTATTTAAATTGCTTAAAGTTAAAATTATTAATTGCTTGAAAATTAATTCTCATATTTGCGATTGTTCACATTTTTTTTACTATGTTTGTTTCATAATCCTTTGAATTAATCAGGCGTAAATTTCAGAATAAAAATGCTTATTCAATATTAAAAGTCTCTTAACCAATTCATTCCTTTAGAATTTAGATTTAAAAAAAAAATTGTTTTTAAATTTATTCTAATATTTTTTCCTCTCTTTTCATTAATCTTTAATATTTTACATATTTCCACTACATTTTTAACTTATGTGCATAGATATATATATTGTTAGTTCAGACACTCCCATAGAAAATGAATACACACACCATCATTGCAGCAAAAAGGAATACACACAATTGTAATAGAATTCTTTGAGCCATTCCTTGACCAAGATAAGTAAGAATACTCACTGCATATTCATAGCCTTCTTCATCATCTGTATCCCCACTGTTTGGGTCACAATCTTCAACTCAGTACTTTAATGTGTTACTCAAGGTTCCACTTACTAAAAGACATAAGTTTCAATATAAATACACAAAACAAGTTGCTTTTTAACACAAAATTAAAAACACTTAGGTAAATTGTTAATGTCAGAACTTCTATACTTAGTGCAATAATTTAGCTGATCTGATGCTAAAAATTTCAATTAATTAGCAAAAACATATTTAATTAAAAAAAAATTCTATTATTTTGAAAAATATTGTCATGCTATTATAAGGTATACACATTTCCTAGCTTTTAAAATTTCTTTATTTCACCAATTTATAATACTTTTTAACAGGATGCGTTGCCAAATCTTTCGGCAAAAAATAAGCACCTTTTAAGAACTTTTCAAAGACTTAACACGATCACGATAAAAATAATGTAAAACATGCAAAATGATTGACACTATCACACGTTACGGACAGACGGTAAGCCGAAACGGAGTGTGGTAGAATGAAATGTGAAAGCGTTGAATAGAACAAAGTAAAAAGCACGCTTCTGCATAATCAGGGGTCTGTCCAGACATTTTGTGAAAGGTTCGTTTTGGTAAAATTGTGAAAAAAATTACTCGTAATTTGTGAACATAAAATAAACGTTAAGTCACATTCTTTCAACCAGGGTCCGGCTTTTGTGAATTTGTGCAAATAGGGTCCGGTTATTGTAAAAAACTTTTTCAAGGAGTTTTTAAATTGTTAAGAGATACGAGATTATGCTCTGCACTGTAAAATTATAATTTAAAAAAAATTTTTTTTTAAATAATAAACAGCAATTGCTGCTACTAAATTAGAGATGCAACATACAGATATTTGGTATTTAGCCTATACTGCTAAACACAGAATATTTATTTCGAACGAATAAAGGAAGATGCGTCTGCCGAAGACAAAACTTGTTTGTTTACATCTGTCTTTCTTTCCTCCCCTTCCTGGGAAATGTTTATTCGATTAACAAAACAATAATGATTTGGATTTTGAAAATGTTGGAGTTAGGACAGGTGGGTTTTGGTATGTCCCATGGCCCCTCAGTCTGACCGCTAGAAATGTTACAAAATTGACTTATTGGATCTGTCTTGCTGGAAAAAAAGGCACTATTATGAAGATGCACAATGTGAAGTTTATGATGAAAAGGGAATGTGTTTCTTTGTGATGCCGTTATTTATAGATAAACTTCTAAATTTTGATGAATAAAAATTGGTAAAAACTTGACTGCTCATTTTCTTAACATAAGAGGATTTTACTTTTCCCTATTAACAGCGCTCAAACTCAGAATGGCATGTAGTATTTTGTTTTTTCGTTGCTTTAAATATTTTTTTTTTAACATTTAGCTTTCACATAATTCAAACTAATACAAATTTGAGGTGTACATACCATATTTTATATAGATATATAATATGAAATTATACACAAATTTACTATTAAATAAAAAAGTAACACTGGGTTGCCCCTCAAATCTGGAAAACAAATTCCTTGTGCTTTCCCTTTGCATATTGTTCCGTCACTAATATTCCTCAATTCGCATTAACGCCGATAGATGGCGCTGAAACTCATATATAACCATTGTGTGTAATCTATACTTTTACCTTGTCTCAATAAAATTTCATAAAGACAACAAGTCATGTTTTGCTACTGTTTACTGTACTTTGAGTCCTACTACATATTATACACAATATATTAAGAGGAAACACAATTACTGTGTTGGGTTAACGATACTAACTTTAACTGAGGGAAAAATTTCGAGGAAAAAAAGGAACAGCTGAACTTACTTAAATAACCCATAGATTACGCTTTAAGTGGGTACCATTTTTTAAAAGACGAAAATAAGAACTGAAATTCCTTGCTTTTCCCAGTTTGTNGGAGCAACAAATACACTTGGATTTTGTAAATGTTGGAGTTAAAACTGCTGGGTTTTTGTATGTCCCATGGCCCCTCAGTCTGACAGCTAGAAATGTTTTAAAATTGACTTTTTGGATCGGTATTGCTGGAAAAAAAAGGTACAATTGTGAGGGATGCACAATGTGAAGTTTTATGATGAATAGGGAATGTGTTTCTTTGTGATGCCGTCATTAATAGATAAACTTCTCAATTTTGATGAATAAAAATTGGAAAAAACTTGACTGCTCATTTTCTTAACATAAGAGGATTTTACTTTTCCCTATTAACAGCGCTCAAACTCAGAATGGCATGTAGTATTTTGTTTTTTCATTGCCTTAAATAATTTTTTTTTAACATTTAGCTTTCACATAATTCAAATTAATACAAATTTGAGGTGTACATACCATATTTTATATAGATATATAATATGAAATTATACACAAATTTACTATTAAATAAAAAAGTAACACTTTGTTGCCCCTCAAATCTGGAAAACAAATTCCTTGTGCTTTCCCTTTGCATATTGTTNAACGCCAATATATGGCGCTGAAACTCGTATATAACCATTGTGTGTAATCTATACTTTTACCTTGTCTCAATAAAATTTCATAAAGACAACAAGTCATATTTTTGCTACTGTACTTTGAGTTCTACCACACATTATACACAATATATTAAGAGGAAACACAATTACTGTGTTGGGTGCTAACTTTGATTGAGGAAAAAATTTAGAGGAAAAAAAGGAACAGCTGAACTTACT